CACACACACACACAGTAAAAGCCAGAGACAGGACAGTGCCCCCCACGCCGAATATGCACACGTACACTCACACACACATACACATGCCAACCACCCCCACAGAGCGAGCCCACCCTCTATTAAAGATCAGAGAGAAAACTGTCTGGTAGCCTGGATGTGAGTGTGGCAGCAGCCATGGTGGCCCATTCATTACCCCGCCGTGACTCTGACTTCCCCCCCGACTCTCCCAGGGTACGTGGATGTGGGTGTGATACCTGAGGGGGCGCGGGACATCCTGGTAACGGAAGTCAAGGAGGCAGGTAACTTCCTGGCCCTGAGGAGTGAGGCGTCGGAGGAGTACTTCCTCAACGGCAACTTCATCATCCAGTGGAACGGGGAGTACGAGGCCGGTGAGACAACGTTCTACTACGAACGCAGCGGGAACATGGAGAACCTCACTGCTCCTGGACCCACCAAACAGCCAGTCATGCTCCAGGTAAAGGCCCACATACCTCAGTTTTAAATGTTTCAGTAATGTGAGATGTATATAAAACAATCAGCAAGTTGTATTTTCGGTCTTTGTAGTATGATTTTAGCCAATTAGGAATGGAGACGAGGGGCAGACTTTAAGAATGGTCAACCGATCAGAGCATGCAAACTTAATATTCTTGAGGAGGGAAACTCTGTGTGATGTTTCATGTGGTCGTCCAGCTGCTGTTTCAGGAGAAGAACCTGGGTATAAAGTACGAGTACACGATAAAGAAGACCAAAGAGGCAGGAAATGAGATCATTGAACCCACTTACAGTTGGAGACACGGGGCATGGACAGACTGCAGCACCACCTGTGGCTTAGGTCGGTGCCTCAAGTGACAAGAACATTTCTCATTCTGTGAATGTTTGTAGGATTTCAGTTGACGATTTAGTTTTGGACTTGATGTGTGATTTCTGACCAGGTGTGCAGTACCAGCCTGTCCGATGCTTCGAGGTGGACGTGGGCGTAGTGGACGAGTCTCTGTGTGACCCGGAGAGTCGTCCTGAAGACAGACACCGAAAATGCAAGACGATGGATTGTCCCGCAAGGTTCTTACTCTCAAATGCCCTCTGACTCCTGGTGTGAGCTCACTGTACTGTGGTTTTTGTCAGATAAGCCTTTCATGATGATCAACGCAGTTTTAATATTCGAGGTTATCTACCTGACTACTGTAGATCTACCCATAGAAGATTATGGCAAAAGTAATGTTACTGCCTCATCTATAGTTTTTACTGCAGGGGTGACGCTGGAAGGATACTGGTGGGAACAGAGACTCAGACGCTCACAGGAAGCAGGGTTGAGTTCAAAAAGGCAAATTCTTTACTGATAATCCAAAAGGTCTTACACACGTAGGCCGTGAGAACAAGGCAAACAAAGCAGGAGAGGAGCAGACAGGAATTCATAAACTGGGGAACAGAGCTGAGTCAAAAACCACAAGAAGCAAAGGTTAGAGAGCGTCGGACGCACACAGGAAAAATGGAAACAGAACAGTGCTATAACTGTATACACAGGGTTTACTACGAGGAAGACCAGGGGCAAATAGGGTAATTAGATGCAGGTGTGGCCGATCGGGGGGGGGGGGGAACACATGAGCGCAGGAACTAATAGGACGAGACAGGTGAATATCAAAATAAAACAGAAAATGATACATGGAAAGTCAGACTGACTGAGGTTTTGACAACATTTGTTATTTTAAAAATGGGATTTATTTTGGTAAATGAAAAGTTGGGTTGGATTCCTCGGGCAAGGTATTGACAAAACTATTAAACATGAACAAAAGGACACTATCTACTCACCAAGTTATTTTTCCTCTCTGTTCCTCTCCACCCTGCTCCCCTCAGGTGGTGGGTTGGAGGTTGGCAGCAGTGCACAGCCACCTGTGGATCAGATGGTGTGAGAAAGCGAACGGTGCTGTGTGTTCGCACAGTCTCTGCAGAGGAGAGGGTCCTCCACCCTGTGGAATGCAAACATCTCCTTAAACCCAAACCTGTGGTGCCGTGCAACAGAGACGTACCGTGTGGGCAGGACTGGGCGGTCGGGAACTGGGAAGAGGTAAGTCTGGTTTTTGTTTTCTCGTGTGTTTATTTGTTGTGTATCTGTTTGTTAGCATGATTATGCAAAAACCTGCAGGTGGATTAGCATGAATCTTGGTGGAAGGATGCAGTTCTGGTCAGGAAAGAACCAATTACATTTTGGTGTGGATCTGGGAATTTTTTCCACTTTCTTTAATATTGAGAGATTTTCATTGAGAATAATTCATGATGAAAAAAGTCTAACATGTTTAGGAGACTGATATATTAGTGAGTGTAAATTGGTGCAGATCTAATAAAAAATCCACATCTAGTGAATCTGAGGGGACTGTTGGGCCTTGGTGGAGACGTGACTACTGAGCTTGCTTCCAGTTTTTATTTTGTTTTGACCATACCTGATTACCTCCCTTTATCTGTAAGTCAATGTTTTATTCATGTTCTTTGTTCTTTGCAGTGCCCAGTCACATGCGGAGGAGGAGTTCGCTCGCGCATGGTCACATGCACAGTCGCACCCAAAAAGACCTGTGACCTCTCAACCAAACCTCGGTCCAGATCACTGTGTGCCCTGCAGAGCTGCCCTAACTCAAGTCTTCGTAGACGACCCGGGCCTGCCCCCAAATACCGTCGCATCTACCCACCGAAGAGCCCCCCTGCCAGGCCTCCAGCTCCCCCTACCTGGGCTCCCACCAGCCCCACAGCCACATCCGCTGTCCCTGCGACGAAGAAAACAGCCAAAGAAACGACAACAGCTGTTGTCCAAACCACCAAATCTCCTTCTGAAACCACAACCCCTGAAATCATCGACAAAGATGATGATTATGAGTTCAGTGTTGTAATGAGGAAAAATGGGGATAAGAGGGGGAAGGTTTTTCCTTCTAAACCCAGCTCTGTGGAAAAGGAGAAGAAAGCAAGTGGGGTGGAAAAAGAAAACATGGAGGGAGAGGAGGGAAGTACGCCAAACGTGGTGATGTACACTCCAGGATATGATTATGTTGTCGAGGATAGGACGGCAGAAGAGGAAGGGATCATCAACCTGGATGTTTCTACCACGGCTACATCCTTGAAAAATCCTCCCACGTCAACCACTTCACAAACAAGTCCACCCACCGTGAACACAACCAGAACACCCACCACAACCAGCTACTCCACCCCACGCACCAGCACTGAAACATGGGTAAAGACAACTCACCACTTATCCAACCCCCACACCAGTCCACACAGACACTGGACACACAGGGCTCCCCTCACCACTCCCATGTACAAGAACCACTCAGTCCCGTTGAAAACCGGCTTCCACACAACACGCGCTCCCTCCACAACTGCAAGAAAAGTGTTCACCACTGCAGCATCGGCCCAGCCCACAGTAAAGATAATTAAAGTGAAGAAACCTGCTGTGACGCCAAAGAAAAACATTTCTGTCTCACGTGCTAAAAAGCCCTCGTCACGGTCCAAAGGCTCCAAGAACCAAAACCGGCGACCAGGGAGTCCCGTGAGCAGCTCCACCAGTGACCACAGCATCGTGATGACCAGGGAGCCAGTCAGCATGGATATATCCTGGGTTGTAGGAAACTGGAGCGAGGTGGGTACATGCAGTTTATCACCAAATTATATTATTATGCCAACCATTTTACAAGGCATACCATTTTGTAATATTATTTTCTTCCTTTAAAGTATATAACTGATAACATTGGAAAACAAATTTGAAATTTACAGTGAAGTTAATTATAATTTTTTAATGGAAAAGATGAAAAATTATTTTTGCTTTATTGCAGCTTGAATCTCCAAATTTTCAGCGTCAATTTAAAGTTCTCAAAAACAATTGGTTAAAACCATGATACCAGAAAATGCATAAAACAAAAAACAAGCAGACATTGATATTGGGAATTTCATCATAATAATTGGACCTCCCTAAATTCACTAAAGAGGAGAGTTTTCCTAACTATCCCTGCATGCACCTGCACACTGGTATATAAGTTAAGTTACTTCTAATGGCTCTGTGGTGGGAGGTAAATCCATTTTATGATTTCTTATTTAAACAATTATTACAACATTTGCTTTTATTAGGCGAAAACATGCAAAAGTACAGGTGCAGTCTGTGGCTGGTTGTTGTTAAGGAGATTCCTCTTGTCTTACGTATCACTTCATTTTGTCACTCACATAGCTGCACACATTTAAATCATAAAACACCACTTCCTCCCCAGTGTTCAACAACATGTGGCATTGGTGCAATATGGCGAACAGTCATGTGCAGCTCTCAGAAGGTTGAGGACTGTGCCAACGTGAAGAGACCTGAACCTGCACGTACGTGTGAGCTGCAGCCCTGTGCCACCTGGCAAAGTGGCAGCTGGAGCAAAGTGAGTAATGTTCGACTCCCTCCAGTCACTGAATCAAATAATTACACTTATTAATGTGACTTTATTCTAAATACCTCTAATGAATTCCCAGAAGATGAAATGTGTTTGTTTCTGTTGTTTTTTTCGTGTCATCCTGTGATAATACATCTGCAGTGCCCAGATAACTGTGCAGTGGTGGGAAGGAGGTACCGCGACGTCCAGTGTGTCGATTCTCAGAGCAAACGTCCCCTGAGACCGTTCCACTGTCAAGCAGAGTCCAGCAGACCCATCAGCTCTCTGACATGTCCCCACAAGCCCTGTATGACCTGGAGCATATCACCCTGGGGACAGGTAAGAGCATTACGCACATTTTTTCACCTTCAAATGTGGAAATTCACTTTTGCTCCATCTCTTAAATCCTGTGTTTTCCTCAGTGCTCCGGCAGCTGTGGCGAAGGCATCAGGGAGCGTCTGGTGTACTGTCCCGAGCCTCATCGCTGCAGCACCACGCTGAGACCAAACGACACAGACACGTGCAGCCTAAAGCCGTGCACGCACTGGAAGACTGAGGAGTGGGAGGAGGTCAGTCACACGTGATCGAGCTTGAAAATGATAAACTATAGCACTGAAAAAAGTCGTAGAAGTGGGCTGAAAGATTTAGTTTTATGACTTTTCAGTGTCCTGTGAGTTGTGGCGGGGGTCAGCAGCACCGGCATGTCAACTGTGTGAGTGACCAAGATTCAGCTGTGATGCCAAACAGCCTCTGTGAGAAGATTTCCAAACCAGAAACACTCAGGAAGTGCAATACGCAGGAATGCAAGACAAACACAGGTCTGTACGCAACATTCAAGGCAACGTTCAATCAGTGTCTTCCATAGTGAGAGATATGAAAAGCAGAGTCGCTATAAATGCACCCACACACACACACACACACACACACACACAATTTCTATGACGTTACAGTATATTTGTTTCTCTGTAACAGAAAACAAACCTCTTGGTTAAACTCACTGTAAATAAACTTGGACATACTTTCTGTATTTCAGTGTTTCATGACATTTGACCTCTGACCTTCTCACGCAGGTCCAGTTTGCAGGAAGAACACCATGTCCTCACGCTTCTGTGACAAGCTGAAGCTACTGGGTCGCTGCTCTCTCAGATCGGTCCAAAGACAGTGTTGTGTCACCTGCGGGCCATAACCAGGGTTACACACACACACACACACACACACTTATATATGACACAGTAACACTTACTGTATCTTCATGCAATACATGAAATAAGGTCAAAGCATCTAAAGACTGACACATTCAAACCAAAGTCCCAGTGACTTTTAATCAGCACAATCAAACCTCCATCGGTTATGATATTATTATTTTTTACCTATTTAGGTCACTTTTTTCAATGAACATTTTTGCGAAGAGGTTTTAAAGAAGCGAGCAAAAGATAAACCAGATAAAATAAATGCAGAATTAAAATATAACTTTTATTTAAAAAATAGCAAATTTATTTGAAGGCAAATTCAATATTTCAGTCAAAGCTTACATCAAAAACATTAAAACAGTAAAATTACAAATTAAAGCTCAAGAGCTAGTTCTACACAGTTGTGACAGATTAGATTGTACTACATCGTACAGGATGCACTTTCTTTATTCAGTAAAAACAGAAATGACATACACAGTGCCAATCTCTCTTATAATCAAGGTGCTCCACAGTCAAGTTACCAGTTCTATTTTTATTTCTAAGTGACGAGTAAAATAATGCAGAATGTAAATAAAGATTTTTTTTGTTACTACTTTATTAAATTGTTAATAGTATTGGTAATCTATGTGTTTTTACTCACATATAGCTGGTTTTTTTTTTTTTGCCGGCACTGTGTGTTAACATTTTTCCGGGTACAAGTTTTCCTGATTTAGTTATTTTTGTTTGAATCGTCAGCGGATTAAAAAAAAGAAAAGCAGAACCCGCTCAGTTCTCCAGCTCGAACCTTGGTGCTTCTCCTCTGGTGTGAGATTGATGTATGAGAAAGAGGTGTTGCAGGTCATCCCTCTCAGGTCCCTCTAAAAATGGCCTCTGTGTTTGTATGATATTGTACAGGCATCACCACCAGTGTCGTGTATCTGGTACGTCACCATCACATGTCTCCATCGTTAATAAAAAGATATTTGTGACGAAGCTGCTTTATAGCTGAGACATTGAATAACATGTTCTTTTAGTTTGTGTACTCCTCACTCTGTTTGATGTACATGTATATAAGGTCATCTAGATTAACACCTCATGTCAACTATTTAAATCAGCGCCGTCTTCATCTGCATCATGGTTTCCTGCTTTATGACCTCTTCCGCTTTGTGGCCTGTTATTTCAAGGTCATTCTCGCCTGAGAGTGCCAGATGCCGCTGGATGTGTGTAACACCAGAATCAGTAGCGCCAGGCTCTGTTTCAGGAATCAGGTTCAGCTGGCCCAGATTTCCCAGGCTCCTCTGTGCCATTAGAGGAATTGTGGCCCCGCGCCACACACCCTGCCGCTGTCATTCAAGCCCGAGACCAAGGGTTGCTCAGCAGTAATGGAAGGAGTAACACAACACTGGGTCAATGTGGAGCACTGTGTCCTAAAAACCAGCTCTGTGTGTGTGTGTGTGTGTTTAATCATGACAAAGCAAACTCCATCCAGTTGTATTACCTAACCACATCTCATTCTGTTATGTCATTCTCTGTTGCTTTATTTGTAGAGTTGCACAATGGAAAGAAGGGATTGAGCTCAAAATAAGGAAATGCCTGAAAATATCAGAGAACAGGTTCTGGCTTTAACAGTGACAGTGGTTGTATGAAAAAAAAAGTTTTATAACTCATTTCTGATTTGAAATTTCCAGTCCTGTGAATCTTTATACATTTCTGCTTAATCCTTGATGATGCACAGAGGGAGAAGCATTATTTCATGACAGTCAGTGTATAATGAATGATTGACCTGGCACGGAACAATTTCAGATGCTCAAGACGACATAAGTGGCTGCTGATTGGTTCTTCATTAAAAAGGCCAAACATTAATTAAGTAAAATGACTCTTAACAGCTTGTTCATGACAAAGTGTTCCACAGCCAAACGACTGGGTTTGGATTCAGCAGTCGAACGTTTACTTCATGATTTGCAGAAACAGTAGCAAACAGATTCCACAGCTTTAACGACGTAATAACATTGGTCTGAGGATAAATAACTGATTAATTCTCATTTTGGGCAAATAAGCTATTTATGATACATTATATAATATATTTTTTCTTTTGGTTTAATCTAATCACTGTGTGACTTGTTTTCACAAATATTTTATTTTATTTTTTTACAATATAACAAAAAACATACCATACTACATACAATAAGTAATAACTGTTTTAATCAATGTCAAAGAACATTATTCTGTTATCAGGAGTCATGTAGTAATTATATTATAATTATATTGTAATAATACTTATTATCAGGGAGATATCGATACGATCCTTGATACATAGGCTCAACAGTCCCGACTATACCACATCGTAAAAAACTGGAATAAAGCAGATGTACACATTGATTTACAACTTCTGCAATACCACACCCATAAATATTACAGATACAGCTGCCCTGGTATAAACAGGAAGTCAAAAGCCTTGACGTTGACAAAATGTTCAACATATTCTCTCATCATATATTTTTTTGTTTACTCAACATCACAGTGAAAAGCTTGTTTAGTTATTTATCTTTTTATTTATTTGACGGCACTGTCACCTCATATCGCCCAGAGAAACAGCGAGGTCAGTTCATTGTGGAAGAGTTGATCCAGTGTCTGACCTGTAAGTAAATTCCACTGTCCTGCTGAAACCGACACTCAGCAGAGGAGGATGATGTAAGTGCCTGTCAGGACGAGGGGGAAGATAACATGACTAACATCTATTGATCACCGTAAAGCAGGAAACAGCAACCTCATCTTGTTGGTTACCAGACACCAACACAACACAACGGCCAGGAACACATTAAATATTTATGTTTGATGACCAGCAGAAAAAGAAGGCCTCCCAGTATACGAGCCGAGCCTACTCTTTGTCTGCGAGTTATCTCCCCGGAGCATGAGGTAACACGTTTCCTTGTGATCTCTCTGCTTACCCCTCAAACCCCAACGTAAACCCAGGGAGAAGCTCAAGGAAGAAGGCGGTGGAACGTAATCCCTGCGCCAACATGCTGCTGGTTTGGATGAAGAGGTCCAGTCTGGTGGCTTCTCATCTGGACCCCATCAGGTTGCTTGTCCCCAGGCAGTCAGACTGGCATCCCTGTACCAGGCCTGTTCCTTTATTAAAGCCTCGGCCTCCTCTGACCCAGCACACACAAAGCAGGCCCCAGGGAATGCAGACAGACACACACATGGTTCCTATAGTTCCGTTTGGTTGTTTGTGTGTTGTGCGTTTGATTCCCTCATAGACCACATATGGATTTGAGCTTAACTAACGCGGGGTGAGGCGCTTTGCTTTGTAAAACATCTGCTTAATGATAGTGCACCGACAGGAAGGGACGACAGACTCACAATGAGCCCAACGAAATCAGAGACACATGACATGAATAAGGTGAATTTCCACTGTTGGTCGCACGGTGCTCGCTGCTGGATCCACCTGTTACCACGAGGCAAACTCAGGTGCTCAGGCCAAAACTTCACGTTAGAATCAAACCAAAATTAATATCTCATTTGGTGTGTTAGTCTGCAGGTTTTATTTTGATTATTATATTGAATTATTCAACCTGATCTGGAGTTTATTTATTTTATGTCAAGTTTGCATGAAAACACCATCATGGTTGTGCAGGAAGAGAAATGATGCAGATGTAATTCTAACTTTTAACAGACACTAAAACATAATTTATCCTTTCAAAATAAAAACAGAGGGAAATCTCAACAATTTTCATGTTTCCTTTTTAAATTAAGAATTTCGTTATAAATTGCGTCAAGAATTTCAGAGAATAGTCAAACATAGAGAAATATTAATGAAAATACCCCACATCAAGTTACCTCCAATAAGTTAAAGTGTTTCACCCCAAACTTTGCCTCCACCAGATTTTGCCGCAGTCTATAAAAGCAGCTATTTGCCTGTTTATTGTTTAACTTTGCTGTTTAACTCGTTCCTGTGTTTGAATGTGACAGAAATGAAAACGTCATCACATGAATATTGCGTTAAGGTCGGCAACTGTAAGAGACTTGAAGACAACAAAAACACACCTGATGGTTTTAACTTCCTAAAAACAAAGAGTTATTTTGTTAAATTCATGCATTACACGCTAAAAAGAATAAAAGGAACATTTTCATGTGTTTCATCTTGATTCATTTCTTTTCTTTTTGGCAGTTGGAACTGTTTGAAATCAGATCTCCGCTGACGCATATAAATTTCCGGTATTTGAGTTTTTGTTGCCTTTATTGTGATCGCATTTTTGTTTTTGAGAAGAACCCGGCTAGAGCACAGCCTGTAGGGAGGGATCAGACACACATTTGTCTGTTTTATTGCCTATTGTTTTGAACTTTGAAATGCAATTCAGAGAGATAGATCTATAAAGATAGACTAAATACTAAAACTGTAGAGCAGGGAGGGATGAGAGATCATCTCCAGACCTTGCAAAGCTCACTTATATTGCATTTAGGAGAAAAAACACAGGCACGGTTATGTTTATAAAGAATTTGCTCCTTGGCCTCTTATGAAATCCTAAAAATCTTGCAAGTCTGTCAGCATCAGTGTAGCCCTACATCTCTCTGAGGCACCTACGCTGAGATTACTGGAAAGAACAGTAAGTCTACGGGTATATCTGCACATCTGATCTGGGAATTTGGCCGAATCCTTCGATGTCAAATACAAACTTGATGCATGAAACTCGTCTTAGCTGTCATTAAAAGAATGTTTTGATCTATGAGTGCTTAAATTATCGAGCTTTGGCATGGAATTGTCCGGGAAGCGAAAGAAAACATGCAAAAATGTAGGTATGTGCTGACGTATTATGTTTAGTCTTCATTTGGACAGTTATGGATAAATAATTGACTGTAAAATTTTAAATGAGGATGTGAAAAATCATATTGATCATAGTTGAACACAATGACTACTTTTAAAAAAGCATCTACATTAAAATGTAGACAGTGCTTAAGTCCAGGGCCTCTTAAGTTGCAAACAGTCTAGAAAAACTATTTTATAGATGTATCAATAATCAGCTCCTCAGCAGTTTCCTCTGCACAGATTCAGGTTATCACAGTGGGAAGGGACGCCACAAAGGAAGCGCTGATAAGATTTGCTTTGTTTGTATCCCCAGATAAAGCCATGCCAAGACCAGAGTTAAGACATGACTGCTGCTCTGGCCGTAGATCGTTGACAGACGTTAAAGCAGGGCACTAAAAACTAGGATTTGAAGGAAAGAAAACAGGGAACAGGACAGACCCCTACATCACAGACACGAGGATCAGGGAGAACAGATAAGAGTGCCAGCAGCACACTTTGTTTATCACCCTGGACTGTTGAAACTGTCACTGGTCCTTGATCACTTTTATCCTCTTAATAAGCCCAAACGGTTCTCACTGCTGGAGCCCACAAATTCTCCAACCGTGTCTGAATTGTCTGAAAACATAGAAATGTGTCTTGCAATATCGATTTGATACGGAAATTAAATGAATAAGACAATGGTGTTTTTATTTGAAATAACTTTAACCCAGGAGAACACTGACCATTCCTAATATTCTGCACATTCACTGCACATATTGTACATTGTTGTCTGGTCTGCCATGACATTGTCCATCCTGTGCTGTGGCTCATGCCCTGAGGAGAGAATGATGCATGGTCCATCCGTAAGAGAGAGTCTCAGTGGCTGAGTTCCAGTCAGACACCTGAGTCACAGAGGAAGGTGGAGGTCTGGTGAGTGAAATTGGAGAGCTGCATTGCATTACAGCGCGGCTGGAGAGATAACACTGCGATAAAGTGCCTTGAGGGAAAGAGAGAGGCCTCAGCAAGATGTGCCATGATAAGGCAGCATGCACACGGCAACCGGCAATAGTAACTCAATATGATTTTTATCTGAAGAGGCAGAGGAGCCACTTGTCAGGATTATCACATCTTAATGAGGAACAAGTAGCTCCATTTGAATTTGGGATATTCATCTTCCTTAAAACTCGAAGATATGGGCAGATGTGTGTAGCAGATAACAAAAATTAAGACGACATGCGACAAATAGATATTTAAAACCACACAGAGTAAAAACACAAACAAACCGATAAATGAATCATTAGTGCAGGACTGATGCAATACTCCCAGACAGCCTCCTCCTAGCCTGCAGCATCTATTCAGATAAACCCTGCTATCACCTCTCACTCCAGAAGTTAGATCTGCTTGTATGTAGGCACACACACACACACACACACANCACACACACACACACACACACACACACACACACACACACACACACACACACACACACACACTACTTGCTCCCATATGTGAGAGGGGAAGTTGAGGAAAGGAGGGAGGGATCATGTAACCAAGAGACTCCTAGAATATTCACATCAGGCAAAGGAGGCGAACAACTCTGACTTAATCCTGAGACACAGAATGAGAGAGAGAGAGAGGGAGAGAGAGAGAGAGAGACCACCCCATGCCCGTTATCACCATGCTGTATGAAGGTGGAGTCATTTGGGGGTAGAGAGAGAGAGAGAGAGGAGCAGAGCAGCAGAAGACATGGATTATCTGACATGCGTCTGGACTGACCAACATTCCTCTTAAAGTCTTGAATCCTGTTTTCCTCCTCAGAGTGAAGTCTGAAGATGCGTTCCCGCACATGCAGAGTGTAGATGGTGAGGTGTATCTTTTTTTGATTTCACTGGATCTAAGGAGTTTGGGATATCTGGGATATCAGTGAACTATTTTTTTTTTTCTTAAATTGAGCACCTGCTTGGAAATGCAAGGAAACAGCCGGAGCAGCCAAAACTTACAAACACAGTAATATTGTATTTTTTATGTAATATTTGATCATTCAGACTGACTTATTCTAATAAAAAAGAAGAAGCTGATCATCGGCCTTAAATACAGAGGGAAATCCAAGAAAATTAAGACTCTGCAGCAGAACCATCCCCAACCAGCCGGGACTGTGGAGGGTTTTCCTCCCTGCCCTCCCAGCCTCTCCTCATCCCCAGCAGCATGTCCCAGGCTCTGAGGCTGCCACTAGTCCTCCACACAGCACACTACCATGATCAGATGGGCTGCTGGAGGGAGTAAGGCTGCCTCTGCCTCGTCCTGCTCCAGGGCTGGGTTAGGGGCTCTTTCTGGCTCTGGGACCAACTCTAGACCAAGGTCATCAGCACTGCATTCCTCCCTGTCTTTGCCTCTCCTGCTGGCCCTGGTGCTTTTCTCCTTTTCCTTGTCTGGGGCGGCCTGCCATCAGCTCCGCAGAGAAAGACTGAGGCTCGCCAACCCACGAGCTCTCAGAGTTCCACTGAACATTTCGGAGACTGAGCTCGCCTTCAGGCCCAGGACCAGTGGGGGCACTCTGGGTCGGACTGGAGGACCGCAGGGTAGACATGTGCGCAGCTACAATCACCTCCAAGGGGATATACGCAGGAGGAAGCTGTTCTCTTTCCAGAAGTTCTTCCTGAGGATCGATAAGAATGGAACAGTCAGTGGAACCAAGAGCAAGGATGACCCTCTCAGTGAGTAACTCAATGAGTATCTGAATGTAAAAAAATGAAATAATAAACCATGCAAAAACTAGAAACCAAATTAAACCAGAAACCGAAGTCAATGTAAACCTTTCCTACATCTTAAACGAGGCCACTCTCTTTTGCAAAATAAAAGTCTCTAGTCTCTGCAATGAAAACTTGTTTGGATTTTGCAGCATTCGGATATAAATGTTAACATAAAATCACCTGTCGGTTGTTTTGAGTCGTGGATCAAGTCTGAATCAAGCCTCTGAAATTTTGCTCATGTCTAATTTGAGAAATCAGACGTTCAATTCTTTGATGAAGACGCTCATAATGCATTCATTTGATTTATTGATGGCTTGAACATTGGATTTGAATAAAAAATGTCCAGAGACCGCCAGTCTGTCCATTGGTTTGGAAGTTTGGACGAAGCATTCCGGTCTTTTTGTTTTAAACCAGACATCCCACTGATATCTCTCCTGTCCAAACACTCAGTACAATGGTGGTAGCCCTCAGATGGCTTAAAAAGGAGCAGGGGCAGATAACCCGTCCATTATCAGGCAGTCTTCACAGCCCAGGGTAAACAGCGCTGATAACAAGCACAGAAGAACCCGGCTGGAGCAGGGGGAGGACATGGATGTCAGGCTCATTGATGCTTTTAGACCCTCTCTGCCTCTCCTCGTCTGTCTCTCTCTCTCTCACTCTCCCACTCAGATTGCCCGCCTGCCAGCCGGCATCAAGCAAATTACATACCCTCAGTCAAAGATCAGACGTTTGTTTAAAGTAGTTTGACGTGCTCACTCTGAGAAACGCGTCTTTAAAGTGATTACATGTTGTATGTTTCGGCATATCAGTCAGTAAAATGGCATTCTCATTTGTGTCCCGGCATTCCCACTGAGCTACGTGTGTGTGCCTGTATCAGCCGGTGGGTACCCGGACTCCAGAGGGTGTGTGATCACACAGCAGCCAACGACAACACATGTGCTCACTTATTACTGAAACACACAAATACACGTATTTATATATATATATATATATATATATTTATACTATATATATATATATGTCTCCCCTTCTCAAATGCACTTTTTCTCCCGTTCCCCTGCTGTCCCCCAACCCCATAGCGAGTGTATATGGAACCTTTTAATGTTCCTCTTGGGAGACCTAAACCACACATTCAATCAAAGTGACTGAGGGGAAATGGCACGGCGAGGCAGAATGTCAGAGGAGATGTTTGTTTTGACAAGGTCACGACAGAAGCAACTTTATTTACCGACAGTATTACATCGTGATGTTTTTACTGCCTCCTTCATCAGCAGTTTCTTTTGAGTAGTAAACGTGAAGAGGTGCGAGGAAGTGTGTCTCCGTGTGTCTGAATCTGCGTGTGTGAATCCCCCCCCACTGTTTACGCTCTGTATGTTTGGAAGATAATTCACCTCCCCTGTCTAATTGTTTTTATTCTGAACAATTCATAAAGTCACATTTTTCATGGTTGCCTTTTATCAGAAGTGGGTTAGAGTTAGGGCGAACCGAGCGTCAGAGAGGGAGGTGAAAGAGAAACTCTCAGGAGGCACAAGTTCATGAATGACATGGCTGATCATCATTGTGGCCACATCAAAGCCATGCGTCTTCAGTATCAATGGTGGTGCCATCAAAAAGCTGTATCCTGAGGGGGTCTGGGGACACTGTGTGTGGATTATGCACTCTCATATCAGGTTCACATGGTAAAGGATACTACACAACAGTAGCTTCAGTCTTTGCTCTGGCCCCTGGGGCTAGACATGATCCCAGGGCTGACATCCTTTGTAGACTCTTGATGATCCCTTGAAGTGACAAAATGTACTTTTTTTTTAGTGATGAGTAGGGGATGACGGCTAGTCTTTTCTTCAGCTATATACATAAGTGTACATACATAAGCATGTTTGTATGTATAAGCAGTTTGTCTCAGAGAGGTGTATGGGATGTGGAGGCCTTGGTTTTGGTGCTGCCTGTGGCCCTGCAAGGACCCGGCTCACTGTCTGTTAAGGAACTGGTATCCAGCCTCCCACAGATTTATGGGGATGCCAGCGCAAAACTGTCCCACATGGTTTTCCAACCCGCTGGGAGCCTGTGCTGAGGTTACAGAGAGGCAGAGAGGAAGGGCTTGAGATCATGTTAAAGACAGCTAAGTAGCTATCTGCATGGCCCTGAGTGTGTAGTTAAAATATTCATGATTCACAACTGAGTTTTCTTGAATTTACCAACAACTAGGAGCTCTGGGTGAATAATGAAATGTTGCTAAGATTCAGTCAAAAGGTTTGGGCGGTAACAGAGTTGTGTGTGTGCGTGTGTTTGTGCAGTTGTGTTGTTAGGCCACCAGTTGAATTTCTGTGCAGTGGGGGCCAGGCCATGTGTGCAAGATGCCTGCAGACATGGCTCAAGGAGTGTATACATAGTATATGTGGATGCATGTGTAAGTGCACATTTGTGTGCATTCATCTCCTTTAATCAAAGCTGTGGCCTTTTACATGGCAAAGAACAGATGGGGCTGTTGTGGAGGTTTGAGGACAGAGATGTATAGCTTTTCTCTGAGGTGGGGAAGAGGGTGGATATCTGCTCTGTGTAAATACAGTCAGTGTGGTCCTTATCAAGTGTTATTACTATATATCCTGATTTATGCCTCACTCCGCTCCATTTTTTCTGCACGGGAATGGTACCAATCAAAATGTACATTTTAAACTTATCTGCCAAAATATAATTTTGTGCAGACCCGAACATCCAAGAGGCTAAGAAAGGCTGAGAAAGAACAACAATACAAGCTGGATAGCACATGCTTTTTGGCATCCCACTGTGGAAAAACCACCTTTAATTCTCACTGGCATTGTGTGCCTCCATTCCCCAACCAACGCACCATTTACTGTTGTAACTCCAAACAGAGCGTATCAAATAAGCCACACATTAGGAAAAAGCAACCAGCATGCAAAAGAAAATCTGCTTTCCCTCCAAGTAAACAGCTGAGCCTGGCTGGCTCACTTTAGGCTACATTTTACATGTGTGGTTTGTAAAACTTACCCCTTACAAAGCATTGCTGTCACATTTAAGGCTTCATTTTGTAATCTACAAGAAGCTAAATGAAGAACAGATTTTTTCTTATGCCCTTTACCAAAATTGGCAGCCCTGCGCTCATTACTCTCCTTTTCTGGGCCAAGCTGAGCATTCATCAGAAAACAGTGAATGGAGATTTTGTAGTTTCACAGCCAGGTGTGCAAGTGCACATTCACCTGCTACAACATTGACTATGTGTGTGTGCTTGTGTTTCCGTGAGTGCAGCAGTGTGCGTGCATGTGTGTGTGTGTGTGTGTGCATGCGTGTGTATACAACCTGTCTCGCCCCTGCCTCCGGTGGCTGACTTTGATCAGTGATCATTACAGCCTTTCTAATCCTCCCTCCACCCCCAGTCTCACTGTCATGGCTCCTCTGTCCTCCTCTGTTCTCCTTCCTTTCATCCCTCCCATGTTTACAGAGCAGCCAGAGACTGCCATAGATTGTCTTACATCCTCACTCCATACCCGACACCCGATCCCATACAGAAACCAGCTCCTCTCAGATCTTCAATGGCCGTTGTGTCACAGTCCCCACCACCGCCTTGCCGACTCAGGCCTCACTGCCCCAAGGTGCCACTGTTTGAACTAGAAACTGATACAGTCAAGACCTCACGGACGAGGAAAGAAGCTGCTGTAGTTTTATGAGAGGGATTGTTCTTTGGGGGTCACACCTGCCTCCTCCACTGTCCACTCACATGTACGAGGTTGGCAGCTTCAGAGGCCCCCCAGCCACTGGAGAGTGGGCCTGACAGCAGAGCGGGCTGCCGCACAAACACTCATCAGACAGAGGAGGGGCTGCTGAGCTGATCAAAGCATGTCGTCGACTCTGTGGAGTTCACACCCCCACGCCACGGATTGTGTGGTGTGTGTGTGTGTGTATGTGTGTGTGTGCACACATATGTGCTTATCGGGATAAAATAACGACAGCTCACAGGAAGTGTGGAAAGGAAGTAAGGGAGGGAGGCCTGAAATCAAACATGCCATGTGAACTGGGACAGTTCACACACACACACACGCACAGCAGCACAAGACCAGATGAGTGGGTTCTGTGGTCAAAGGACACGTTAGGAAGTTATATCTCTCTGACCTCTGATACTGAGACCACACAAATAATCCCAGCTGTCTGCAGAAAAAGCAGCCCCTTGTTAACTAGGCTATAAATTAGCTGCTCTAATAGCCTGTGAGAAACCTGAATTATTTGCGTAGGGACCTGGAAACCTAAATACCAAACAGCATATAAACAGCCTGAGAATCTCTGGGGTATCCACCTATCAATTTTCAGACTAAATGGCCTTTGCAGCTGGAATCTGTTACACAGGTGTAGGTTGTAAAGAAACTTTATAATATCATAGAAATGATAAATGTGCTCAAACGATAATTGTGACCAGACAGAGTTCCCACGTGGAAATGTCCTGAAATGAGAAAATGCAACATGTTATCCATTATACTTGATATAAACATTCGAGGATATATTCCAGTCTGTGTCTAGACTCTCCAGGGGTTGACCTCTGACTGTTGCCCCAATGTTAATTGTTGTGTTGTCTTATCTACAGCAAAGATGAGTCAGGAAAACACTGTATTATCTTTACTTCCTCTGTCACAAGAGATTTGTCCCTCTGAACTCATTTTATTTGCGTGAATGAAACAAGAGCTCTGATGCTCATGATGAACGTTGATACATGATGATATAACCGTCTTTTTTCTGAACCCTAGGTGTCCTGGAAATCACCTCGGTGGACGTGGGAGTGGTGGCCATCAAAGGGCTGAGCAGCAACTACTACCTGGCTATCGGCAGGAAGGGAGACCTGTACGGAGCGGTCAGTATCTGAGTCAAAAGTCAATGTGGATGCTCCAGAGAGAGAGATAGTGTCAAATACGCTATGTCCTAATCAAAGAAGGCCTTCTCTTGCTGCTGCATCAACTCTGAATCACAACCAGGCCAGTGCAGGCACATGAACCCCCAGCAGAACTGTGCAATTTTTAAACTGTAAACTAGTTTCCACACAAGAACACAAAGTAACATTTAGTGTAGATTAAGGAGGAGTAAATAAACACTGTTCCATGTGCAACCGCAGTGGATTTGCACAAGATAATGATCCGTGTTTTGCCTAAACCTCACACGTCGGGGTTGTAACACTGAAACATGATATCTACTGCTTTTTTTCCCAGAGAGAGTTTGGCGTGGACTGCACCCTGAAGGAGCGGATCGAGGAGAACGGCTACAACACATACGCATCAGCTGCGTGGAGGAACAAGAAGCGGCAGATGTTCATGGGTCTGAACGTCCACGGGAGGCCGCTCAAAGGGAAGAAAACACGCAGGAAGAACACGGCCACCCACTTCCTTCCAATTATGGTGTGAGCTGAGGAGCTCCACTGGAGGGGGAGACTACGCAGCACTGGACAGAGAGGTTTTCAATAAAGCTGTAAAATAAAAGACATTCACTGGAAAATCTCTCATTGGGAAACAAGGCACTAACACTGTTACACAAAAATGTGGTCTCTGCAAAGGACTTTGAGTGAGATCATGTTCTGTATTTGGTGGGAGAAGGTGATAACTGTGTTTTCTGTGGCACAGGACGCAATATTTATCCTTTTTTTCTCTGTGCCAAACAGTTTGCAACTGGAGCATGTGTGTAATGTGGACAACACAGGAGACAGTGTCCCAGTTAATGAACTGTAGTAGATACAGAAGTATCTCCAGATGTTATTTATAATCCATATTTTTCTGCGAGAAGTAAAGGGGAGGGATAGAAAATGACTACAGTATGATGAGAGAAATGATCAGTCAGTTTATTGTGACAGCATTAAATAATAGAGGATACCACACATTTAAAGCAAATGTTTAATACTTAACCACTGTTTTTTGACTGTATTGTTATGATTTATTTATTTCGTGAAATATTTAACTGGAGGGGAACACTTACAAGGCAAGCATTTCTTTGCATGCTCTACTTTTTATAGGAACTCTACTATGTGAAAATAAAATTTCCATTTTCTCCTCTGCAACACTCAGTGGTCGTTCTTCCTTGTACCCTAAACACTGACTGCACGGCTGATTTTTAGCCCTGAGAAACCCTGGTGAACATCCAGGTCACGGTAGGTCGACTCTTATCTGGGTCTCTGAGGTAGGAAGGGACAAAAGGCAAACCATTAAGGTCTCGCCAGATATCCCATGTGGCAACCATTGCACTAATGATCAGTCCCCAAACAAACTGGAGACCAACCACAACAGAATGTGAGGGAGCTAACGTCCTTGGTACGGCTGCTGACATCTCTCACTGATATCGCACCATCTCTGTGGAGCTGCAACATTCCCCGCTGGTCGCAGGCCGTGCACAGTGAAGATAGCTGCTAAAGCACCTGCTGATAACAAACAATATAAAAACAACTCTGTCGTGTTAGTCTGCGTTGATTGTGCACTGTGGGTTTGTGGAGGGGCCGTGCGAGAGGATGTGAACGAGGGAAGAAATGGAAGTGACGGAGAGAGATGTGACTCGAGTCTGACCACCCACTTCCCTCAGTAATCATCTGCAAACACACTAATCAATGACAGCTGCCGTGATGCCAGATCAAAAGACCACGGGGAGAACATTAACGCCACAGGCTTCCGGGCCTCATGCTCGTGTCCCGCCTCTCTGAACATCCATCTGAGGACAGGCATGAAAAACTGGGAGAGCAGAGGAAGACAGGAAGGTGAGGGTGGGATTACGAGAGGCTGCGGCCTCTTGTCTTCGGCCCCAAATTCATCCCTGTTGGCCTGTAAATGTGACTGCAGGAGGGAAAACAACAAGTGATCTAAACCATAGGAATCCACAGTACAGGAAATTTGCTTTAGGCTATGGTATATTGTCCTTTTAATAGATGTTTAAGGAATCACTGTGATAATTGAGTAATACTGAGGAATGCTGCAGGGAATTCCACCATGACAGTGGCAACATATGGAATACAGTTTCATGTCTGCACCATCTATGACTTTTTTTCTGCTCTGCAATGGCTGTGCAATGCAACACGGCTGTTTCACCTCTGGGGCCACATGCACAACAGTGTTTTTGAGATAAATCTTGACAGAGAGGAACCCCCACCACCACCCAAACACCAACCCCCTGGTAATTTGTGGTCCTATGCATTCGCCAAATCTGTGAATGTTTGAACTCTCCCCAAGACACTGGCACGAGGAGAGAAAAAAGCAGCAATAACAGAAAATAGGGGCAGTAATCTTTAATCAAAGTGGGTCTCCGCATTTCTGGCATGGGAATTCTCTGTGGCATAATGTGATCCAGCTTTGGGAAATAAGTGGAAAATGACTGGAGGCTAAAACAACTAATGAATACTTAGACTAAGAGGTCTGGTGCAACACATGTTTGTAGTGGGCAGCTACTGAGTGAGCTCGGGGAGAGAGGTATGTGTGAGCGGGTTGCACCGGTCCAGAATCTTAAATATGTGTCTGATACCTGGATGGAAGGTTATTTAACCGCACATTTGGACAGGTCAGTCATCAGACACTCGTGTTGTGCAGACAATCAGTGGCTAAACCTACAAACATGGGCTCTAGCCATCACTGACAACATTAAGGTCACATCTTTATAGTTTGGGGGAATTTACACAACTCAAGCGGGAGTTTACATAAAACAAAAAAAAAATCACATCTGGTATCTAATGTAAAAACAGACAGTAAATAGAGTTTAGAGGCAAAACTGACAAACAGGAACAAAAACGATAAATGTAACAGAACAAAATATATAATTGTCAGATTTTTCACAGGGGGTGACATTTGATGTTTGGGCACATGACCTCAGTATTTTCAGAAGCCCACCCACAGCATGAATGATATTCGGGGGGGCATGTGGTCACACAAATCCTTGACACTTTAGGTAGCCTTAACGGTCGGGATAGAAGGGAGGTTATTAGTGGCAATTGTTAGGTAAATTTTTTTTTTCCTTCTCACAAGTCTGGTGTGTTTTTCTTGAATGTGTTATTTATTAAGCAAAATGTATGTTGGACATTTGGAAAACTTCAAGTAATGCTTCACAATAACAAATATTTGAGAAGAGAGTGATGCTGTGCTTTTAGGGATTGTGTGAAAGTGATTAGGTGGACAAAGGGGTTACATTTATTTATTTCTTCAGTGAGAATTAGATCTCACTTTATTTTTTATTTGCACCATGTCCTTTTTCTTTCTTTCTTTCTTAGTTTCTTTACCTCTCTTTTTTTCTTTGTAAAATAAATAGTATGAATACATTTTTAAAAAAAACAAAGAACCCACTGAATTCGCTGCCTGCGTGATTTATGGCTTTACCAGTTCCACTCCGCGCCACTAGAGGGCGACAGCTGTAATTCAACATCAAACCCTGCCATGAATATTCAGCGACAGACTGTTGTTAACGGAAGTGAACAGGAACAGGCTGTGTCGCTCTGTTAGTGTCCGAGCGAGGAAAAGCCACCATGAAAGACAGATAGAGCGATTTTTACAATAAGTGCGACGCTGAAAGACGAGTAAAGACGCAGTGCTTCCGCTGAGCAACATTCCTCCATCTTGTTGTCCGATGCTGCTTTGAGAGTCGAGGCGGACACACGAGCGGTCATGAATCACAATTTCGACCGAGCTCCCGGAGCGGGGAGAAGCTACAACCTTCCAGCGGACCCCGGGTTCGGGGCTGCGGGGGACGACGACACCAAGCCGCAGCTGTTCAACCAGAGGGGGCCGCTGAGACAACCGCGGTCCGTGCCGCTGTTCTCCGAGAACAACACGAGCCCGGCCGGCGATGCGGTCGGTGGAGGTACGGTGACTGTCAACACGCTAACTAGCTAACGTAGCTCTCATCGTTGTGTGTGGCTGACATGTTGCTGTGTTTGTCCACCATGTGAAACCAGCTTCTGCATTTTCCGTCTGAGAAACGAAGGGAGAGAAATATGTGAAGCTGCCATTTGCAAGCTAGCCAGCTAAATAGCCTCGCTGCTAGCTAACCTCTGTGTTTTTGGCGGAGCGCCGTGCAGCTGCTGGGTTTCATGTGAGGTAACGCAACATCTAAATTAAGATCCAGCTCCGGTGTCACGTCGTCGACGAGTCGAGTGACTCGGTTGATGCTGTTTTAACGCAACGAGTTCCACCACAGCCCCTTTAACCTGTGATAGCAACCCGCAGCAAAGACGAAGAATCGGTTTCGTTTGCAAGTCTGCTGCGGTCATGTGGTCCGTCGTTTGGGGAAACGCGCTCACAACAGTCGCACTTTGGAAATGGATGCTTGTCTATTCGCGGTTTTACGGTTAAAGGTCCTTGGAGTAGAATAAAGACAGAGGACAAAGTTGAAATGACAAAGTTTAATGAGACCGATCACAGATGGTTGCTTTGATTTCCACACAGGACAATAACAAGTAAAATGAAAAGGAATGTTAGTTATTTAAACCCCCTGAGACACAGACCAAGAGTGAACAAGAGTGTGTGTGTGTGGGGGGGGATCTGTCTCTGGAGGATTTGTTTAAGATTATATTAAATATATGATTCACAGAATGAACAAGTTGCCAACTTTGCCTAAAGTTCTCCAGTGAGATCTACTGAAACTTGACTTGCAGACAATGAGAGTATCTGTCACCTCTCCAGGAATTTTAAAAGTAATATTTCATGTGAGCAGATTATGAGTGATTTAATGAGAAAGTAACTTTGACTTAAATTTTCATGAAATAATAATCGTCATTTTAACTTTAAACCTTTGTCTTCGCTCCAGTGACATTTACCGTAAGAGCGCGAATAGACATGCATCAATATTCAAAGTGCGGCTGTTGTTGTGAGCGGGTTTTCAGCCCCTCAGTCCTAATGTGATCAGTCTGCTGCAGGAGGAAAGAGGTGGGTGAGTCCAGTGCACAAGTATACGAGGCCTGGGCTCAAGCTGTTGGATTTCTCTGTAATGTTGTAAAGTTTCTGCCCAACCTTGTAAAGTTTCTTAAGAAAATTTATAATTTGGTGCTATACAAATACACTTGATTTGAATTGTTACTTTCTAAACTCTAAACCAGGATGCGTCCATGTTTCGATGATTTTTATTATGTTCTGTGTGACTTCACATCACTGTCATTTCTGTAACATAATAAAACAGTATTCATGGTTAATCCTGCACGATTACATGAAAAGGTCTGAAAATCTCAACCTCTGTTTAACAACATTAAAATTCCTAAAAGCACATCCGTATCAGCCAATAACGTATATACAGATATAATAAAACTTAAATCTCTATCTCCACAGTTAGAAGGTCAGCATGACCTTGAATGACGGACAGGTGCTATTGTCGAAATTAAACTTTGCTGAGACTCAACAAAGTTATAATCCTGCTGAAACAATTTGTGTTTTTGATCGGAATCTTCGTCAATAACAGAAACAACTCATCTTCTCTTTTAGATTGTAGAAAACAAAGCAGACCTCAACAAAGTGCAAATGCCAACAGTATGTCTTCCCAAGGATGTTATGATGTCGACTCCTTGGTCAAGTCATCGAAGCTTTCAGCCAGTGCTGCAGAGTTTGTCCCCTCTGGAATTAACTCGTATGAAGTGAGTTTTTACACCATCTCTTTAATTATTGTACTTTTATAAAAGTGGTTTTAAACCACCTTACATGGCAATGGTCCTGGCAATAGTTCTGCTCTTAGTTTCCAAGTAGGGTTCTGTAGCTAGCTGTTTGTAAGGGCAGCCATCATTACTGCTGTAAAGTTCCTAATAGCCTGTAAATTTAGATTTGTAAATTGAAAATGTTAATGGATTTGCAATATCTTTTGTTGTTTTTCATGTTTGTATTTTGTTTTCTATTCAGGACCCCACTCATTATGATGACAGTGAAGGGTATTACGGTGAATTAAACTTGGATGAAATGGTCAAAGACTTTCTTGATCACCTGAGCTCCTCACCAGGGACCTTTGAGTCGGACATTGAATACATAACTGGCATGCTCAATTCCTGCGTTACTACTGAAGCGTTGCTGAAGGATCTGGTGGAACTGATATACAAAGAGGTTTGGATGTTCAGTGCTTAGTTGGTTCTTTGTATGAAACTAATAATATGCATACATGTTCCTGCAAATACACGTTTGTACAAGATAGGTATTGAGTTTTCTTTTCATCGCAGTCCACTGCCATTCCAAACTTTTCCTACACGGGTGCCAGACTCTGTAATCACCTGTCTAAACATCTCAATGTCAGCCCACCAAGTGGCAACTTTCGTCAGCTGCTCCTGAAAAGGTGATTTTTATTTGATAGTTTTCATTTCATGCATGTTCATTAATTCTTTCAATCCGCCTTTTACAAAGCACCATTGTTGTCTGTTTTTAGGTGTCAAACAGAGTATCAACATAGAGATGTAGCTGTTCGAGGGGAACCAGAGATTCAAAAGAAGTTTCACTCCTATGTGCTCTTTCTGGGGGAGCTCTATCTGCACCTGGAGGTAAGAGGTCACACTCATTTGCCCTGTGTGACGATGATGATTTTATTTTTAACTGCTCCAACAGTAGGAGCACCATGGACTAATGTGGCTGCTGCTCAAAAATATTTATAACGCATACTTTTGATCACATTATTACATACTAGATGGCTTCATGTATCACCCTGTCATTACACTGTCGAACATGCTGTCAACCTTAAAATGATCTAAATCCATCATTTGTTGACATTTATGTTGATTTGCTTTGCTCAGATAAAGAGTGCTAAAGGACCTCCAAAAAGAGCAGATATCCTCCTCATTGCTCTGAAAGACCTGATGAACAGTCTGTTCTCCAACCCTGTGGATTCAAACCTCATCTGCGCTGTCAAACTTCTCAAGGTTTCACATCTCACTTTGATGTATTCACAAGCTTCCAAGATTTTCTTTTCTTTATTTTTGGGAGGTAATAAGATTGTGTTTGAATTTGAAGCTTACAGGCTCCGTCCTGGATGATACGTGGAAAGAGAATGGACAGTCGCACATGGAGGAACTGATGCAAAGAATAGAAACTGTAGTTCTGGACGCCACATGCAGCAGGTGCGTATATCACTATGGTCTTTTGTGTGCAGCTGTTACTCTAGTAGTATATGCTCAAGGTAACTTTAGGTTTAAAAAGCCTGAACATGCTTCAGATGCCAAAAAACAGAATCAAACTTTAATAGACAACCTACAGTTATTAGCTATAGTTATTCTGATTTGAGCATTTTCTCCCTTAGGGATGTTAGACAGATGCTTTTAAAACTCGTGGAGCTGAGATCAAGTGACTGGGGCAGAGTTCGTGCTGTTTCAGCAGCGAGTAACGCAACTCCAGACAACGACCCCAACTATTTCATGGTGAGTGTCTCTGAAGATGGGTCTGTGCCCATCTCACACACATGAGAGTAAAACGTTTGTGTGAGAGTCAGCTGTTGTGCAGACATTGTCAAAATCTCCCCATATACACTCTATAGCTACGCCCTGTATTTATTCTACATTTATGTTATGGTTTTATTTTGTGTCCTCTCAGAATGAACCTACATTCTACACAGAAGATGGCACACCTTTTACAGCAGCAGACCCAGGTAAGGTTATATAATCATGTATATAAACATGCCCACCCTCAAGAGAGATGAATAAAAACAACATAAGATTCATGTAAAGTGTTTTTTTACACTAATAAAACTCTCATTTGTTAATGTTTTATTGTTACTGAATAAAAAATATATTTTTAAAATGACACTTGAAGTAGCATGCAGACAGAAACGTATACTTATATAAAATATGTCAATATCAATTAATTCCATACATGCTGGTTATAAAACTGAAGAATATTGTCGTTGTGGATATTTCCACATTATTTTCACATAATAGTTGTAAATCGCCCAGGTTACTTTCTTCAGCCAAGTCAAAACGTTTTTTGTGCCTGAATCTCTTCTTCCGCAGAATATGCTGAGAAGTACCAAGAGATCCTTGACAGACAAGACTACTTTGATTTTTATGGAGAAAATGGAAATGATCTGTAAGTACAAATTGCAGATATAAAATAATATATGAATCTGTTTTCCTTCTTGGACCTAGAACCCCTGAGTGTTTCTGTGAATGCAGTTGTTCATTTTATTAATATACTGTATTTCTGCTGTCGTACATGGATCAGAGTGTAATTCAGTCCATGCATCTGTCCGTCTTCATTTCATTTCTGAAGCAGAACTCAAAACTATTACAGAGTTTCATTAATTTATTTTTCTATATTTCATTGAAATGAGTTTGACCAGTCTGACTTGATAAGACTGAGAGTTGGCAATCAACTCAGTACTTTGTGCCAATAAGCAACAGAACGATGCCGCACGTCGTTGTGTTTACAGGGTGTGGATATGTAGGTATTTACTTTTACTAACAGCAGATCTGACTTTTAATTCAACTTGATCTTAAATTTCATCACTACCACTGTGCTGGCACACCTTCAGTCATTTGTCTGCATAGCGGCTTCTCACAGGTCATGTGACTGCCCCTGACCTGTTGGCCCCAGAGTTTGGCCAAATGTGTTTGTCTGGCCCACAACAGGGTCGACTGTGGCCTCAGATTTAGTCTAGTCAGCAGTTAGGTGTGAAAGAGGGCTTAACCTTCCCTCAGAACTATGTGTGTGTGAGCTTGTGTTTTTATGTCTATATAAATGTTAGTTGTTTCCACATATTATAGGATCTGTTAATATTAATTTCACAATCCATCTATTACACTGGAGAACACGTTTGTCTTTAGGATCTAAAAGGAAAAGTCGGAGCCTCTAAATCGCTGTGTTGTGTTTTCAGATCTGACATTGAAGACGAGATGGAGCCTGAGATGGAAGAAGCTTTTGAGAGATTTTGTTTAGAAGCGGAGAAGAAACGGAAAAAATGACACCCGAGTGAAAAGCAGTAAGACTCAACAGGCACATACTGTATTTTTCCATCTTAACCTGCTGGAATATTAAAAAGCAAAAAAAAAACTAGCAGACTATAGGCTCAAACGTTTATTTTACTGCAAACAAGCATTTTAACAAAAGGAGCTGTTCATAGTTGCACTTCTGACACTTTTGTTCGGTCAGTGTTGATTAGAAAACAGGGACAATCGATAGAATAATTGTTCAGAATGTTTATGAATGGAGGCTTTTTTTTAGAAATGGAAGTTTTCTCTTTGTTGTTTTGAAATCTTTCAGCAATTTATCCAATTTATGCCTGAACTTGTTTCAAAGAGGGAAATCGTGTGCTGTGAATTTTTTAAAGGCTCTTTACTGAAAGGCAGACATGTTTTAGATTTAATACCCAGTGCAAAACATACAGGCCCCAAAAATGCACTGTAGATGGGGCAGGTGGTTGTTTTTACCGCCGCATAAGTGCATATACAGCCTCTCTTTCCGCTGTGGTGACATTGTGTGTCATTTCAAATTGCCAATATTAACCACTTCATTCAAAGCTTTTCACCTGTTTATATCTGGCTGGAACTTACTGAAGTTGTCAGGAACTCTGTGAAAGTTTGTGCAGTTAGGATGATTCATTATAGCGCTAAGAAAGAAAAATCTGTCACAAACGTGGACTTGAATATAGACAAATATTGTTTTTTAATTTCTTTTGGGGGTAAAAATCAAGATCCTTGGACATTTTAAGCACATGCTTTACAATCTCCAGAATAGGGAGCATCTACATTCTGTTCATTTCTCAAACCTAGCTTTTAATATGTACATGTGTGAAATCTGCAGCGGTCAGTGTGACATACAATAACTCAACTGCTTAAAGGTTATCCTTGTTATCTCTGAAAGACTACAATACTGTTTAGCAGCAATCCATGGAACCCATACAAAGGAATGTTGCTCTGTAGTTTGTAAATATTATTTATAGTTTTCTTTGCCTGCAATAAATACTTTATAATGTGAGATTTTATTCGCTTGATTTGTGTTTGAGTCTTTTTCGACTTACTTGTAGTGTCAATAGTTCAAATATGTACAAATAAACATCAGGCGACAAGGACCATCATGTTCATATGTACAAATATTCTAGCATTTGCTGCTATCTAGTGGCCAACTTGAGTATGGTTATAAAAGTCAGTAATACAAGACTATATATACCTAATACTCAATAAAGGACTTAAAATACAGTATTTTGATATTACGATATCAATAGTTGAGTTAAAGATTAGGTTGTTGCTACAGTTCTGGTTTCAGATTTGTGTGAATTAAACGAACATCGGAGTACTGCAATACTTTACATACTATGTTTCGACAGAGAAGCACATGAAGTATGTGTGTTGCAGCAACTCTGTTTTGATTGAAAACAGGATGGTGAACGGGTCCTACCACCACATCCTCGTATCAACCATCACGACTGTTCTTTATTTGTTTTTGAAAATGTGCAGCACAATGCCAGCTTCTATTCCATAATTGGTCAATACAGACAACTTTTCCATATAAAGAAAAGATAAGGACGTATGTTTGTATGTTTGAAATGTATTCAGGTTGGAAACTCTGAAAATACTTTGGTTTCCATGATTCAGAGGAAAATGACCATGACTTCCTTTTAACCTCATTGTCCACACCACAGATATTTTTCACTCTATTCTAATGAAACTGTTTTGTTGTGCTGTTCAGCACAACAAGGCCGTGTTGAAACTGAGATGCCTGAGTTACATTTAAGAATATTGCAGCGATAGAGTCTGTAGTTATTACATGTCTGTGAGGGGCGTAGTTTACTGAGACATCCTGGTGATCCAGAGATGTAAGATTCATTTAACCACAATAATCCTGGTTTGACAGTTTGGGATCATTGTTGGGTCAAACATAATAATCACTTCTACTTGAAGCCAGTTCTCATACTTGATACATATTTTAAATATAAAATATCATGTATTTAGTGATTGCACTAGATTTATGCCTTGCAATGAGCCTTAAGTAAATTGTTAACATGTGCCACCATTTTTCTATCGAAGTGGAAACCTCTCCCACACGTCTGAATCCAATTTATCTCCAACAAGAGGTTGTGGCAGTTATCAAGCCCAAGAAATTCTCATTGCACACTCGTCTGACATAACATTGTATAATCTTCTGACAGTATCAGAATGTTGTTCACAGAAATACTATGAATTTGCGTGTGAGTGTATATGTGTCATCAACAAGGATATCTTCATCTGCAATCCACTGCATGTCAGCCCATGGCTTGGAAATATTATTGCCTCAACTTGTCGACATTTACAAGAAACTGCACATTTTGTGCTTCTGTCTGTTAGATTGACCTGATGCCAGGAAATGCACCTGTGCAAATCCAACAGAGCCTCTCCACAGGTTGTGTTGTGTCATGTGACCCACAAGGGGAATTACCAGTGCGTCTGTGTGCAGTCATTGACTCGTGAGCCCCTCTGAGCCTGCTGGATGTGACTGTTTGCCTCACAATGCAACAGGTCAGCCCAGGGCCTTAGATTCTCATTGGTCAGCAGATGGGTGTGAAAGAGGGATTAGTGCTACAATCCACCCAGCCAGAAGTTTGTGTCTCTGTGTCTCTCCGTTACACTGTATAACCTGGGTTTGAAAACGTACTCAATAGTAACAAAAGTACTAAAAAACGATGTATTCCTTCATTTGTTTGAAAGCGACAAAATCTGTGACTCTGAATCACTGGATATTTTTATAAAGGCCACACACTACTATTGGTGGGGTGGAACTCATGACTGAAGATGTGTTTGAGTAACATATCGTTAAGTCAGAAAGGCAATGACAATGACTTCAGTCTGGAGAAATCAAAGAAACTTTGATTTATGAGTTTTGATATATGGAAAAGGTGATTTCTGTTTTTAAAATGGCCGTTAAATTTGTTGGGTCCTCTGTGAATTATGTTTCTGAAATGACTCGTACTGGAACAAACGGAATAAAACATTCATGAGGCTTGTTTTGTGCCAGAGAGGTGTTGATTTAACATTGTGATTCTTGAGGTTGCAGTTTGTGGTGGTGTTCCATTGCACTGATAATAAACTCAAACATTTAAATTCAACTTCTCTGGTAGTTCAGTGAATACAGCATGTTTCATCCTTTAGATGTCATTTTTTAATTAGAAATATGTTATAGCATTGAATCAATGGCAGAAATCCCAGACATTCTAAATACGTCTGTAGATACCGTCTGAGGTAAGTGAGGAAATACCTTCTTTACACTGTGAGTCAACTTATTGTTAAAACCTGTAAAAATACTTTGTCCTGTGATTCACGTTCCTCCTCGGTGGGTGTTTTAATGCTGTGCCCACACTGCTCCATTATGTAGGAGCCTGACAGGAAAACAGACCACAGACTCTGTTTCTTCAAGACCCTTCCTTGGATTGTTTCACATAATTCGAGGGGCCTGAAATTCCCCCGCACTGTTGTCAGTGAAATAATGTTTAAAAATAAAGGAGTGCTGGAACTTGTTCATAAGAAAGGGATTGAAAAGATGTAGTTTGTCCATACAACACCCATACTGAATGATATAGGTATGATACTATGCAGCTCTTTGCCATAGTGAGCATCTCAACCATTTGCTCCTGCAAGAAATCACATTTTGCATCAGAGGTATCGCACCTTTAGAAAGAATCTTCATCAGATCCTGGGAAATGCTGACTCCTAATTTCCCATAATGCAACTAAACATCATCCCTTTCATTTGACCCTCGATGGCTGCCAAGTGACCAAATCTTTCAAATTCCACAACCCCAATTCACAAAGCCGGCTTTGTGTTTAAAATCTGTCGGTGAGATGACGGCATCAGGGTTCTTTTCTGAGACGTCCTCCAGAGCCACAGACACCAGCTCCTTTCAGAGGCTGAGTCATACGTCCAATTACAACTGACCTGGTCTTTTTCTGCCCGTCTCCCTTTAATCATAATATTCAAATGGGTTTTTTCCTTCTTTTTGCAGTAACAAAGCAACATGGACGTACAACAGGATGGAATTACCCAGCTACTTAGCAACAATCCTCTTTCCAAAACACAACTTTTGGAAGGAAACAAGTCATTGAGGAAAAATAAATCCTTGAAATCCTTCCCTATTTTTTTTTTTTTTTACTGTATCTTAAACATGCTCCATCGAAACATTCCCTCCAACGTCCCATAACAGACTTTCCATTGTTTGTGGGTTGTTCTTAATATTTTACACGTCTCATTCTGATCTCTGACATCACTTCCTGCTCCGCTGTGAGTTTTAATTACAGAAATTATAGGGTGCAGGGGGATGGAGCCTCAGATTGTCAAATGTTAATTGATGATGTGATATGTGGGGATTTCTTTGTATTATTGTTTGACATGTGTTGATTTAAGTGTAGTTTGTCCACTCATACCGTGTCTCTGGAACGACAATTAAAAGCAGATTGAATATGATTGAACGGAATTCATATTTTAAAGGGATAGTTCACCCAAAAAATGAAAAATCACTCTTTATATAATCACCACTAGGCCGGTGGAGGGGTGTCTGAAGTGTTTGAGTCTTTTTGAGTTTCAGGGGTAAACAGCGCTGCAACCAAATCCATATCCAGAGGCATTTATGTTTTTCTTTATGTTGTTTTCTAATGTTTAAAAACGTGGTCACCAATTACTTCAGGTGTATTGGTTTTGGCATAGTGGTTAGTATATAATGAGTGGATTTTCATTTTGGGGTGAACTATCCCTTTAAATTTCAAGATTTTAACTTTTTATCTTTAAAGCACCAAAACTTTGAATTTGAGATAATCTGGCTGGATCTCCTCCTCCTCCTCCTCGATCCCCTGCGCATTGAACTCGATCCCCGCACCTGTGTGTCCGCTCCTGCCTCGTCCTGACTTCATCAGACACATAATTCAGTTCACACCCTGAGTCAACACTTGGGTCGGACTCTGAATGAGCAGGTCGCAGGAAGGGGAAGAGCGCAAGTCCTTATTTAGAGAGTCTGCGCGCTGCGTCACCGCCGAGTCTCGACGCTGCAGCCACAACTTTGACAAGTGTCTTCATTCACTCACCTCACACACATGGAATAAAGACGATGGAGCTCATCTGGAGGAACATCTGCATCGTCCTCACACTCGTCTGTAAGTACTGAACTTCGCGCTGCTCTTTGAACTTGTTTTCATCCATTCGGTTGTTTCGACGCAAAGATTAGAAGTCACATTATCTGATCGTTGTTCTTTCACAGTTTACACAGAAGTGTGTTGGGTAAAGAGAATGGGTTGAAATTTGATGGTTCTATGTTCTCATTGACTCGTGAAGAGCACAGGATCAGGGTGGGTGAACACGCACAATGAAATCACTGGATAACTTTGGTTTGGCAGAGGTTTTGTTTTTGAACTGGATTTCACACCATCCTGCTAAAAGTTCCTCATCTGCTGTGAAATGCAGGATCCACAGTCAAGTCAGGAGCAGGAAGTACAACTGTGTCTGCCATCCTGTTTACAGTATTATCAGAAGTGGAACATGTCCTTTGTGAACATGTCCCACTCCTTTAGAGACCAGATCATTTAGCTGCTCATCATGTGTCTGACTGTGCAGAATAGTCCAACAACACTTGGAAGCTTTCAAGCTGCAGCCAGACGGACACTTTTAATTAATCTCCTACATGCAGAGCTCCCATTTTGGCATTGAAAGGAGGTATTAATGTGTTGTGGGGTTTACAGAGTCTCCCAGAGAGGAGGCAGAGTGCCACTTTGTGCTGCAGGTAGAAACAGGCGTGGCAGGAGTGTGTGCTGGAGATGGTCTCCTGAGTCCAGAACCCATCCACATTCCTGTGCCTGTTGATTAAGGGGAAGGCAGGCTGATAGCTGAGCTCTGCCTGTATGGGCTTGTGGGTCTGCCGCTCTCAGTCGAGCAAATTCCATGTCCCGAGGGGATGAGAGAGCTGCTGCTTTTCAAGATGCATCGTGTCAGTGAAGTAAAACACTGGTGTTTATTAACGTAAACCTTG